GCCTCTCCACCCCCTGCCCCTGCCATCCCTCCAAAGGAAGAGGCACCTGAGCCCGTGGAGAAGAAAGACTTGGAGCTGGAGAAAGAAGCTGCTGGTCCCTATCAGGCCTTGTTCCCAGGTAAGAAGAGCCCTGCTTTGGCAGAGTCCCGTTGTGTTTGTGCCTGCCTCCCTTTTTCTCCTCAGCTCTTTCCTGCTTCCATCCCTTCCCCTAGACAAAACCACGTAGCTCCTCTAAAAGGCAGGGGAGAGGCGAGGACCAGGGGTGGTGTGATGGACTCGGACCAGTGCCTGGGTTTTAGGGGCACCTGGGGCTGTGGGCTGTCTTCTTCCCTTCGGCCGAGCCTGGGTTGTTTCCTCCAGGGATAAAGTCTCATTAGGAGAAGGATGCAGGAGGCAGATCGCTCTGCGGTTTTGGGAGAGTGTGGAAAGGTGCAGGAGAGACCTTTGAGGTGCTGATGCCTGTGGCAGCTTGGCCAGGAGAGAGGTGCCCAAAGCAGCCACTGCTTGAGAATAGGAAGAGATGAAGGGAGCCCACTGCAGTGCCTTAGGGAGGTGCTTTGGAGACCCAGCCGTTACACAGCCTGTGCCTTCTGATGTCTTGCAGAGATTCCCCCAGGATATCCATTCCAGTCCCTGCCTCCCTCATTCGGAAGACACTATCCCTACCTCCTCCAGCCCACCGCAGCATCTGATGCGGATGGCCTGGCTCCTGACGTCCCACTGCCCGCCGAAGGCTCTGAGCACATGGAGCTTTCCCCAGAGGTCAAACCCATCCACCTGTCTCCGTCCAAAATGCTGGAGCCCATCCAAGCAGCAGCAGAAGAGGAGTCCTTGGAAGAGAGGGTGAAATCAGAGGTGCAGATAGAGGAAAACCAAGAAGACATCTGCGAGCAGGACATGGGGACAATGAACATCGCCACCTCCGCAGCCGTCCCAGTGCAGAATGTGGACAATTGCAACCTCCTGCTGCACCAAGGGGAAGCCCTGGGTGCAATGGAGCAGGACCAGGAAGACCTCCAGAGCTGCCCACCTCCTTACCAGGTTCCGGCCTGCCCTGCAGAAGCAGAGGCTCAGGCCGAGAGTGGGAGCGGAGCAGAAACCTGCTCGGTGCACATGGACTACGATGGTTCGCTGGTGCACACAGAGGCCAAGCCACCTGAGATAGACCTGACGCCCCAGCGGGAGGAGGCCTCTGTAGCCATGGACCTGCAGAGCGCTGATGTGCCCCGGGGGAGGGAGTTTCCCACCCTTGCCCCTGAGGAGGAGGTGGAGGAGGAAGAACAGGGGACAGAGATCCCTTCCTACACAGAAGAGGCAATCTCTTGCCAAATCCCAGCTCTGGACATCAAGCCGGGCGACCCACTGGCTGGGATGAACGCCTTGGTGGCTGCTACAGAAATGCCTCAGGCTTGTTCCTTGTTGACTACCAGCAGCATCACTCCGTCCCAGGTGAAGGTAGAGGTGTTACCTGAGCAGGCCTTGGAACACTCCTTCCTGCAGGGGATCACTTTGCTGAGTGAAATTGCAGAGATGGAGCTGGAGAAGCGGAAGCAAGAAATGCAAAGTAAGTTGTGAGCGTGCAGCCTGGCCAGCTTGGGTCTCCTTGCATACGGCCCTGGTGCTTTCTGCAAGAGCAGAGGAACAGAGCGAAATCTCTTGCAACCTCTGCTGGGCAGTGAGGAGAGCATTGCCCTAAATTGCAGGAACAGCTGGCACTTTGGATGGGGTCGGAGCAGGGGTTTTGTTGCAGTAGGGCTGAGCTACGTGTAGCTTTTGTACTGCTCGCCCATTCCAAAGGCCCTCGCCGTGTCTAGACAGTTTGTGGTGTGCGTAGCGGAAACGGAGCCCCACTTACTGCGAGCTGCCAGGGTAACACCCTTCTGGCAGGCACCGAGTCTGCAGTTTGTTGGGGCTTGGCACAAGAGGCCCCCGTAGCTCCAGATGATGCTTTCCAAGAGCTTGGCAGGTCCTGAGAAGATCTCACCTTCCAGTAACTTCCTGAGGCGAGACGTGATGGGAACTGCCAGTTGCACCATGGCTGGGTACAACAGGAGATCTCAGGTGGGGGCCAAGGGTGGCTGGGAGGCTACTGGAGCTGTCATGGTGCAGGAAGGGACATCAGCCTCACCTGGTGCCTGCTGGAGGAGCAGTGGTGGAGCGTGAACCTCTATAGCTTTGTTTTTCTGCCCCTAGCAGGTCCAGAGAGTTTCCCTGTCCGGCCAACGCTGGAGAGTTTGCTGGCTGCCAGCACCCACATGCTCATGGAAGTACTTTCCACCCCCTTCATGGAAAGTCTGAAAACCATCCGGCTGCCTCGAGAGCTGAATCCCAACAAAAAGTACAGCTGGATGCAGAAGAAAGATGAACCCGTAAGTAGCTCTTAGTGTGGCTGAGCCCAAAAAGCCACGGTGCATCCACTCACTGCAATTTGCTGCCCTTCTGTGTTCAGCAACACGAGCCGGCGCTTCCCTTGCGTCGCGTTCGTCGCTGCGCAGGAATCGGTGTGGTGCGATTTAGCTCCCTCCCTCGTTTGTGAATCGACACCATTGATCTCAGCGGGACCCTCGGCAGCCCTAGAAGCCGTGTTTGTAATACAAAGCCAGCGGGAACTCGCGTGTTACTGCTTTGGCAGGGGGGGATAAATGAAGATAGTGGCAGGAGGCTTCTTCCTTGGTTTTTTTTCTTTGCTGACTCTTCCCCATGGGAGAGGCTGACAAATTATTTTGTACCCAGCAAGTGAGTGTTCCAAGACAGAGAATATTTTGATCTGTCTTTTTAAGCGAGGGAAAAAGAGGCGCCGTGGGGGTATTTTATCCTCCTGCAGGTTCTTTCTCAGGGTTGCTCTCCCTCAAAGCTGATACCATCCCATGCGTGAGCCACAGAACATCTTTCCTTGGCTGCTTTTGCTCGGGTAGCGCTCTAGGGCTGTGCTCGTTGTGGGTGAGGGTGCTCTGGCCCACTGTAAGCATGGAGGGCTTCCAAATTTTGGCCACTGCAAGGATACCCCAGTGTGCACCGCCCCATCTAGGCTGAGTCTTGGATGTGTCCTGACCTCTTCACCCCACTTTCCTCCTCCCCACCCCAGATGTACTCCATCAAATCGGCCATCGAGAACATGGATGCGATGGAGCTGGACTACAGGATGAGGCTGGCGGAGCTGCAGCGCCGGTACAAGGAGAAGCAGCGGGAGCTGGTGAAGCTGCAGCGCCGCAGGGACTCCGAGTAAGTCGCAGGCTGCTCACTCGGTCTCTTCTTTTCCAGCTGGGCACTCTCACTGCCTCTCGGTCCGGGAGAGGAAGCAGCCCTCCATCCCTCCCTGTCTCCTCTCCTCTCCTCCTGGTCCGGCCCGCCAGAGCTTTGCACAACACACTCCTAGGCTATGTGTCACGACAACCCCATCCCTGGTGAATGCAGCTGGGAGACCGTGTTAGAGACAACCTTGGCTTCAGCAGCTCAGTTTAGCAGTTTGGTGACAGGCGAAGGTTCTGGGTTGGCTCCTGTTCTTGCTTGCTTTCTTTTAATTTTTTTCCCCCTTTTTCTTCTTTTTGGACTTGTTTTGTTTTATTTTTCCTGTTTGTTTTGCTTTTTTGGTTGCAAAATTTGCTTTTGCCTTTTTTTTTTTTGTGTTTGCTTTGCCTTTTTTTTTTTTGTTGCCTTGGTTAACAGTGAAGCGTGTGGTTTTTTTAAAGGGAAAAGCATGACGAGAAAAGTAGAAGCTTGGCGAGAAGAGGCCCTGGAAGGCCCAGGAAGAGGAAACTTGGATCAAGCGCTCTGTCACCCATTAAGGAGAGAGGGAAGAGTGACAGCAAGAGTGGAAAGTAAGGCTGGAATTTGGGGAAGATGGGAAAATGGCAGGGTCGCTGCACCAGGGTCTTATTTGGGGAGAGCAGCGGGGGCTCGCCGTGGTGTTGTGTTGGCAGCCGGGCCCTGGCAGCGGCGGTGTTGTGGACGCGTGTCCTTGCGGTGGGAACGCGGTGCCGGCCTCCTCCCTCCCCGCTGATCGGACACATGTCTGCGGTGCTGGGTGCAATTAGGACAGGCGGAGTTGAGTGGTGATGAGGTGACACGGAGCGGTCGGCTGGGCAGGGACCTGTAGGCGAGCTCTTGGTGTCGGGAAGCGCGGCCTCGCGTGTTTTCAGGAGTGTGCAGAGCTGATTGCAGGGATGCTGGTATCAAAAATGGGAAGGACGGGGCTGCTCCGGGTTGTCTGCTTTGTAGGTCCTTTCTCTTGTGTTTCTGCTGTCTTCATCTCCTATTCCCTCAGTCAGTGGGAGTTGGTTTTGCCTGACCTCTTTCACGTCCGGATCATTTTCTCTTCTGCCTTTTTTCTGTGTTGCAAGTCCAAGTGCTCTTGTTCGGATGCCTGCATCTCACCACCGTTGGCCATCTAACCATCCAGATGGCCAAGTCCCTCCAATGAGAAGGCACCTCTGAGCTGCCTCTCTTTGTGCTATATATTTTTGCAAATCTCCTTTCAAGACCACAAATTTGATTCAGGTGCCCAGCTCCCACTGACCACGTGCCTCTGAAAACCTCTCTTCTCGGTGGCTCTGTGTTTTGCTCCTCTTGTTTGGGGGTCGGATCAGGCTGGAGGCATCCGGAGGTGGCTTGAGTTGTGCGTGTGTGCATGCATGAGTGTTGGGTGTGCATGTCCCTACAGCTTGGCATGGGAGGTGGAGATGCAGCCTCAGCCATCATCCAGGGCCTGAGGTGTTGGCTTGTCTGTCTGCGGAGGTCAGCGGAGGACGGAGGGGAGGGGAAACGCCTGGAAGCTGAGGAGGCTGCCCCGTGTCGCTGGCTTTGTGGTGGTGGTGTGACCTCGGCCAGCTTAGTGTGAAGGAGACGGTGGATGAGAGCTTTGAATGGAGGCTTCTAGGGGTCTTGTGTTGACTGATCTCTCCATACACCAGTTAGTTCAGCTGGGGAGCAGTGAAAGATGTTCCTGTAGTCTCACCTACTTTACTTTTTGTTTTTTTATTTTTATTATTTATTTACCTCTCCTTTCCCCTCCACATCCTGAAGCGAGACCGAAGACACAGACTACAAATGCCTCTTGCAGAGGGGCCAGGCTTGTAAAGCCAACTGTCTGTCCTTTGAGCAAATCAGTCCCTGCAGTGGCCTTGTCCCTCCATGTCGCCCTGTGTGGTGGCTTCTTACCACCTCCTTGCTCATTCCTGAGCAACCAGAGCAAGCGTCCATGAAAGTAGAGGTGAGAAAAGACCGACAGGGCCAGCTGAGCTGTCTGTCCCCCTCTCTGCTGCTCTGTACCACATCAGGCACACTTTTCGGTGGCTGTCACTCAAGATACCAATGATTTCCTTTCAGAGACCACCTTGAAAGTGTCTGATTTCAGGCGTCCTCATCTGTGCTGGTGGCCACAAGTATGCAAGAAGGGCTTCTTGGCTCTCCTCTTTGGTGGAAAATCCTTGTCCAAACTGCTTCAGAGTGGACTTGGCTCCTGTTGAGGATCCCCCACTGTCCTAGGAGGCATTTAACCTCACTTTTGATCTTGATGGGGGTCACAGGGAGGAAAGGCACCCCCCTTGACCTATCCTATGCTTGGCTTGCAGACTGAGTAAGTCCTTGTTGCTCTCCGAAGACTCCGAGACTGGCGAGGGCATGAAGAAGAGGCACAAAGGGGCCCTCCCGGAGGAGGACGAGGATGTGGAGAGCGGCAGTGGCAAGATGAAAGGGAGGAACCAGAGCTGGGAAGAGCACGACACGGCTCCCAACTTCTCAAATGAGGTCAGTGCCCTCATGGGGAACGTGGAGCCACAGGCCAAAAGCAGATCTCTTTCCTGCCTTGCTGGTGTTGGCTTGCACTGGATAACTCCTCCTTCTCTTAGAGCACTTGCTCGCAGTTCATGTGCGTTTAGAAGCTCTTCATGAGAAGACTGCGCAGCGCAGAGGTGTTTGCGAAGGCCAACGCTGCCTCGTGAAGGTTGGACCTCTTTGGTAGGCAGCAGAAAGGCAAGCTTGCAGTGTTACTCTGAATCCAGAGCAGTGCTTGTTTTACCCCTTTGCCTGTCCGTATAGTGAAAGGAAATGGATTTCCTGAAGGGAGAGGGATGAAAGGCAGTGCAGCCTCGCTATTTTAAATGCAGGGTTTTCTTCTGCGCCTTTGGAGGCAATGAAGTATTTACTAGAGCTTAAAGTCGCTGATGAAATCCAAAATGCATACAGGCGGAGTACAGAGTTACAGCTGCTGTTATCTAGCTGTAGCACATGTAAAGTATATTTACTTTTTTTCAAGAAGCAAGGAAATGCTGAAAAGGGTGTAACAGCACTGGCTGTAATGCAGTGGCACTGATGCACTTGCTGAGAGTCTTTTTGGCATCTCAGCCTCTGGAGCTGGTTGATTAGGTGGAAATCCATATTTATTTGGCTGGAGTTTTGGGTAAAGAAGATTTTTAATCCTTGTGATTTAGAGAAAAGCTTGTAAAACCAACCCAAACATATCCTAAAAACCAGAAGGTGTCCACAGAAAAGAACTCCAAATCGTGTTGTTCTGTGAACATACTTCATTTGGAAGAAAATCCAATTTTTCTAAGTTAATCTTGCAATTTTGTAGTGCTCGGTAAGGGTAAAGCTGTGCTCTTTGCTGACATTTCCCTCTTCTTCCTCCCTAGCACCACCATGGTGGGTTATGGCAACTGGGGCTTTAGGCCGTCGTTTTGAGGTGTTATTAACTGATGTGCATGAGAGACTGTTATGAAGTAAAGTTCCTCAGGTCTGCCATACCTGCTCTGTATTCACCTGTGTCTCTTCCCTTCACCTCAGCAGTTAAAGCTCAAAAAGAAGAAGGTGCCATCGGATCAGGAGCAACTGGCCAGCAAGCTTGACAAGGCCCTGTCGCTCACCAAACAGGACAAGCTCAAATCCCCCTTCAAGTTTGCTGACAGCTCTGGAGGGAAGCCGAAAACCAGTGGAGGTGGCAGCAGGTACCTCCCAGCCCATGAGGCTCTGCCAAGCAAGGAGGAAAAGAAAAGCCTGGCCAAGAACCTGGGCCTGTCGCTGAAAGCCACCAAGGAAGGTAAAAACAAAGTGGCTGCCAAAATGAAGAAGATGGAGGTGGGGTTAAAAGTCAAAAATCAGCTCAAAGTGTCCCATTCACCAGCAATATCAGAAGTTAGCAGCTACTCCTATAGTAAGTAACCCCTCATTTATCTCTTCTTAGTGTAATCTGTTGTGGGGGCTTGTGGTGGGGGTTTCTGGTACATTGAAAGGGAGTCTTGGAGATGGGTCTGGTTTTGCTCACGAGTGAAAGGTGGCCTCCTCCTTGGTTAATCAATGCTGCGGCATCTTTGGGTTAGCATGAGTTGTCTGAGAGGTAGCCAGTATCAGTGCATCTCTTCCTGGCCTGTGTTGTACTGATCGTCAGTGGGGAAAAGCGCTTTAAAGAAGTTGACCCATGTTCTTGCTTTTGGCGGGAGTAGACACTCTCCTGCTACCCGTCAGATGAGTACTGGTAGCCTCTGCTCCAGGAGGTGGTTGACTTTTGGAGTCCTTGGTGACTTGGGTAGGAGTGGTCTCAGGATTATGCCATGGAGAAGGCAAAGGCTGCCAGGGGGCATTGATGTCCGTGAGCACCCTCCTGCCCTTCAGTGCTGGGGCTTGCTGGCTGTGCTCAAGCCTTCCCATCTGTCTCACAGAATCACAGAATATCAGGAGTTGGAAGGGACCTCAAAAGATCATCCAGTCCAACCCCTGCCAGAGCAGGATCACCAGACCAGGTCACACAGGAACACGGCCAGGCGGGTTTTGAATGTCTGCAGAGAAGGAGACTCCACAACCTCTCTGGGCAGCCTGTTCCAGTGCTGCGTAACCCTTACAGTGAAAAAGTTTTTCCTCATGTTCAAGTTGAACCTCCTATGCTCCAGCTTGCTCCCATTGCCCCTTGTCCTGGCATTTGCTATCACTGAGAAGACCCTGGCTTCTTCCTCCTGACACTCGCCCTTTACAGATTGATAACCATGAATGAGGGCACCCCTCAGTCTCCTCCAAGCTAAAGAGACCCAGCTCCCTCAGCCGCTCCTCATAAGGGAGATGCTCCACTCCCTCAATTCATCTCAACCCCAGCATCCCAATTGCCATTTCTGAACCCAGAATGCACCCCAGGCAAAGGTTCCTGCAGCCGAGCAGAGCTGGGGACCTCTGTTACAGAAGAAAAAAGCTGAATTGCAGAGAGGGTTGGGAATGCAGCAGAACCAGAGGTAGGAGAGTCTTTAATGGTTTGAGCAGACCATGTGAGGGACTTGGAGTTGATGGTCTGAGGCCTGGTTGTGTAATTGTCTTAGCTCGCTTGCATACACATCTTTTCTTTTGCTCGCAGCTATTCAACTCCCATGTTAAAACCCTTATGAGGTGTTTGTATGCATAACAAATGTATCTCTCGGCGCAACAGCGGTTTAGAAATTTCACTAACGGGGAAGATGATGAGCTAGTGATTCTCCAACTGAACAAATGTTTGGCATGAAATCAGCCATTTACTTGGAAAAATAGGAGCCATTGTGTCCACTGGACTTGAACACAGCCTTTGGCTGGGCATGCTGTACACACCACCCAACAGTTCTGCTCTTAAATGTGCATCACGCCCAAGGACAGACACGTGGCTCCTAAACTGGGAGCTCTGGAGCTAATGGGAAGAGGAGGCACGGGCTGTTGCTGGAGCAAAAAGCCTTAGGTCATGACAGAAAGAGCTTTTGCAGTGCCCTGGCACTTGGTACTGTGGTTTCATGACCAAAACCTCCCTCCCAGACTTAAGGGAGCTGCTGTTTCACCCCTCTCCTCTCCAGTGAGTCTTCTGGTGTAGGAATGTGCCCCCTCGGCACTCGAATCTCAGCGCAGGAGGATTGTTGTCACTGAGGAACCGACTCTGAAATGGCTCAGCTTTGGTGTGTGGTTTTTCAGCTGTGCAGGTTCAAGGAAAGGTCTTTAGCCTGTCATTTGGTCACTCAAGCGTGATGGATTTGAGGAGGCAGGTCGAGCATATGGCAGCACCTCCCATGACTGGTGGGCTGCTCTGGTGGAGGAGGAGAAGCGGAACTGGCGCCAAGTCCTTCTGCCTCCTAACCTCATGATTAGCTGGAGTCCTGAAAACCTTGGGCATGGATCCAAAGGGCAAGCTGAGCATCCTATTCTCACAGATGTTAACAGAAGTCAGATACCCCCAACAATTTGCATATTTGGACTTTGGGCCTCCTAAACTTGCTATCCTTTGTTCCTCCATACCCACAACCAAGGCAATGGAGATGGGAAGTGATGCCCAACCTGGGCTGACAGTGAAGAGCATCTGCTGCTGCTCACAGGCTGGAATGGTCCCCACTGCAATGTCCTTAACATTGTGGAGCTGATGGTGTGTTCGTGAGCCGGGAGGTGACAATTCATACCCACTTTTATTGTGTCCAGGGGTGCCATATACTTCTTGTTTCTCTCATCAGATGCCAGAGGGGACTGCTGGGTAACTTCTCACTGCCCGTGGGGCTTGGCAGCTTTCTAAAGCTGCAGTTTAGAGACAGAGAAGTGGCTTTGTCGCTGCTCTGTTTCAGTGTGCTTTGTATTGCATGCTGCAGAGTGTCTGGGATGGCACGTTTGGAGTTGGACATTTGGAGTTAGACATGTTTGCCTGCTTGACAGCTGTGCTTGCTCCTGCTGCCCGTGTCGAAAACCCTCTGGGAGAGTTGGTTCATGTAGAAAAGGAGATTTAGGTCAGAATGTTGAACAGAACCATGATTAAGACTAATTGATGTCGGTGGCCTGGTTGTTGGCATCGCTGCACCTTTGGTGGACATCTTCATAGTGGAAATGTCTACCTCAAGTTTTCCACTCCTGAGATAAAAAACACTCCTTGGATCTTGTCTTACGGGAGGAGAGGAGTCATTTAGCCTAGGTGGAGAGTGTCTATTTCTGACCAAAAGAAGAAAATAATGTATTTCTATATTTATTTGGCTCCCACTTGCTGAGCCTGATACTTGTGATAGAAGGTTCTGATGGTGGTGGACATGGCTGCACATGGCCCTTCCTGCAGCTGCTTTATTCTCCTGATTTACAGCCTCTTCACAGAGAAATGCACAAAGTGTTCCCCAAAAAAACCCACCCAAAAGCCCCC